GGCACTATGCTGACCAATATCAGGGGAACACCAGCGCCGTGGGACAAACGTTTTTCCTGAACACAGGAGCCAGTGGTAACTTTGCTCGTAAGTTTCCATTGTACCCATTTAAAAGCTGCAAATGATTTTAAAAGGTGTATCAACCTTGTTAGTTAGGACCCTTGGTAGCAATGGATAGAAACTCAACACCAGCCAGCTTAAATGATAATGGAAGGACGGTAGAATGGCATTTGTCTTGCCTCTCACGTTCACCCCTTTAACCAATAATCCTGACCAGCAGAGTAGGTCGACCGTGAATGGCCCAGGCTGGTCACATGTCCACCCAACTCTGTGGCAGGAAGGATGGATCCATTAACAGAGGAAGGCAAGATGGGGCAAAGGCACCCCGTGATTACCCATCATGCTAGTCCCCCTGTTTACACACAACTGAGCATGCTTTGTTTTTTGGTGTTATTTTGCCCAGCTTCTCACTTAAAAAGAAGATAGTAAAAGCATCAAGATTTGCTTGTTATAATTAATATTACATGATGGCTGAACAGAAGAGCATTTATTTTCCAAGGGAGTTTTACATTGAAAAACATTCATGCAGAACTTCACAAAACACTGTTTACACACAGTATTTCATGTAATATGACACTTAGCATACACAATAACAGATGAGGGTATCTATAAAGTCTTGCAAGCATATTCTTTTAAGTCAGAGCTCACCTTAGGAAAATGCTTGCATGTGTTCAGGAGAAGGTATTCAAGGATGTTCACTGCAGCATTGATTTTAATACCAAGAGAACCCGTGGAAAAAGCTAGATATCCGCCACTTGTTAACCACATCCTGTATGTAACCATTCAAGGAAGGCTCTAGAAAACCTCTAAGGCATATTAAGTAAAAAGGGAAAATAGCAAACCATCACGTTATATATCATGTTCCAGTCAGGGTCTCTGCAGAAGACAGAGCTCATTCAAGTAGTACGAGGAGACCTCACTGGAGGGCCCGCTTTTGGAGGAGTGGACAGGGTTGAAAGAACAAACGAGGGATGCTGAGGTGCCCAGAATCTAGTGGCTGCAGGGCTCCAGGAATGGAGTAAGCCAGCTACTGCCAGAACCTGGTACTAGAGCAAGGAGGCTGCAGGGGAGCAAGCACCTCCATCTCCCTCCTCCTGCCGCTGGCCTCCCGTGCAAGCCTCTGATAGGCTGAACCCAAGGGAAAGCCAGCAGGAAGGACCCCTAGTGAAGCCATCCTTATGGGGCACAGGACAGGGAAGGGCGGTGACTCAGTCTGGCCGGATGGATGGGGAGAATGAAGAAGAGCAGTGCATACTCTTTACGGAAGGGGAAGAACCCTATATATTTTTAGGGATTTCAAAGAGGAAGGGAGAGAGAGGAAAATATAGAAACATCAATGATGAGAGTGAATCATTGATCGGCACACCCCCTACTGGGGATCGAGCCTGAAACTCGGGCTTGTGCCATGACCAGGAATCAAACCATGACTCCTCATTCATGGGTCAACACTGACCCATTGAGTCAAACCATACAGGCAAAAGCCTAACTTTTTATACAGTTATATGTGTGTGTGTAAATGCTCATAGAAAGCTCTAGGTCATGGTATCCCAACCTCAGCTCTACTGGAATCCGGGACTGGATCACTTGTTAGTGAGGGGCTGTCCTGTGCATTACAGTATGTTTAGCAAATCCGTAGCCTCTTCCAGGGAGATGCCAGTAGCCCCGCACCCACCCACCCCATTCCCTGGGTGGGACAATCAAGAACATCTCCAGACAATGCCAATTGTCCCCGAGCAGCAAATCACCCCGCGGGGCTTGGTTAAGTCTACAACCAAACTGGGAAGACCCTGAGATGGAGGGCAGGTGGACAGAGTGCTGAGAAAGGGTTTATTCATTTTTAAATAATTATCTGTGTTATTTTCCCATTGAGAATATGTCCATGGCATAGGAAAATGACAAATATAAAACCGAAGAAGGCAACAGTAAGTGATTTATCCAAATGTTGGAGCCCAGACGTCTCCCTCTCCCAGTGGTCTTTCTGGTACAGTCCGTGGTGGGCACCTGGGTACCTGAGTATAGTAACCAGCCGCCCTCCCATCAGAACACATACCTGGCTGGGTTGGGAAGAGATTATGCTGAGCTGCAATATTTACTTCCCCCTGAGTCCCTCACCGCACCTACCATCAGAATTCCTGGGACCTCAACTGCATTGAAGGAAACCATTTGTTACACTAGTCCTTACCTCCCACTTATGGGGGATTCAGAGCTTGGAACAAGAATGCTCCCATGGGTCATTTTGTTTTTTCAACAAGATGAGTTCATTGAACTGATAGTATCTTTTCTTTGCACAGGTTGGAGATACAGGGTAACAGTCACACTGGCTGGAAAAAAGACAAGGAGTGGGTCCTTCAGGATTGCTTTATATGGAAGCAATAGAAACTCAGGGCAATATGAAATTTTCAGGTAAGTTTGAGAGTAAAGTGAAATGACCACACTTTTCCTAATAGATTATTAATACAGGATTGGGTATAAACTTCTATATACATCCAGCCATAGAGAAACTTTGAATCCTAGAATGTCAGAGCCAGAAGGAAGTTTCTTACCATCTAATTCAATCACCCCATAGGGGGAAAGGGAGGCCCAGAGAGGAAGCACTTGGGATTTTAAAGGCTGACTCCTTCTGGATGGCCAATCACTGCTTCCTTCCTGCTGAAGTTGTGGGGTTGTTGTTGTTGTTTTTAAATTTTTAAAATTTTATTTCAGAGAAAGGAAGGGAGAGGAAAAGAGAAACACCAATCAATGATGAGAATCATTGATCAGCTGCCTCCTGCACACCCCCTACTGGGGATCAAATCCACAACCTGGGCATGTGCCCTGACCAGGAAATGAACTGTTACCTGGTTCATGAGTCCACACCCTACCACTTAGCCACACCATCCAGGCCTGGCTTAAGTTTTATGAATATCATGTTCTCCTTAGACAAAGCACAGTTATATGGCAACTCCTTCGCACCCCACACACATACTCCAGCCTCCACTCCTGCTGTGTTCCACCTGAAGCCTGAAGCTAGTTTCCTATTGCGATGGTAGCCTCAGCTCCTAGCTCTTGTGGGTATATGAGGTGCTTGGTACAATGTATTGGATAACTGTGCTGTAAATTTAGATTCTGTTTTGCACTAAGTTTGCATAATAATTTTCATGTTAAGTTAAAGTTCTTTGACTACTTGTTATGCTACATATGTGATGCCGACAGATGACCCCGGCTGAAGCACATGCATCTTTAAACAAGGATAAGGAGTCCTTCAGTGAAACTAAAGTCAATAAGCCTCCCAAAGTAGTTGACTTCCCTCTAGGTACCAATCAAGACAGTGGACATCTAGAGTCCAGTATTATTCTAAAGGTGTGTTCTTCACAGATAGGTTTGTGTTTTAGCGGCCCTGGATGTGTATGAAGGCAGTCAAGGGAATTGCAGAAAGCCAACAGCAGCAGCCATTGTTTGGAATAACAACAGGTTGCTATCACCCTAGTATTCATCTGTCCAGCTGATAGACCACTTTATGTCTATGTTTGCAGTGGATCCCTCAAACCACATACAAAATATGTGCGTGACATTGATGTGGACTTCAACGTTGGAAAAATCCAGAAGGTTACATTCCTCTGGAGAAAACATGGGATAAATCTGATCTGGTACAAACTGGGGGCTTTGAGAGTCACAGTGCAAAGTGGAGAATATGGGACTGAGTGAGTATCATTCATTGCACCTAAGTCTTGTTTCTGTATTTCCTTATCAATCTATCTCTGCAAACATACATGCCTACATCCAATCACCCAACCATCCACCTACATATCCTTCTACCCACCCATTCCTTCATCCCTTTCTCTCCATCCACTTAACCACTGACCTATCCACTTATCCATGCAGCCATTCATCTACCCAAGTATTCCTCTCAACTCTGCATCTTTCCATCTACCCATCTGATTTACTTGGAAAAATCAATCATCGTTTTCCTTAAGCCAAATTCTACTTCGTCGGAGCAAGACATCAATTGTAAGGCATAGGTTCGAGAAACAGGCCAATAGGAGACTCTGTTTTATCTCAAACAAGAAGGAAAGCACCCGGGCAGTAGCTGTAGGTAATCTCGGGTTTATTTCCGTTGGGTGCATTTATTCATACAAATAGTTTTGTTTGGACACTGTGGCCTGAGAGGAATACAGACTGTGTGAGGATTTAGCTCACAGTGGCAAGCTCTTCTCTTGTTGAGAGGATGAAATCTTACTTGGTGAGAGTAGGGAGAGAACATAACAGTGTTTACAATATGGCAAGAAGGCTACCTTAATAGAGGATGATACAAAACAACAGATGTCAGCGTCTGAAGGAAACTCAATCACGTTCAACTGCTCTCATGTTAAGATGAGAAGAGTGGGGTTCGCAGAGTCAGATAACTTGTCTAAGGCCACCCAGGAAAGCCAGAGGGAAGAGTATTTGCAAACTATTTTCAAAAACACATAAGAAGACCTTGCTTAGCTGTGCTGACAGTACATGTTCATAGGCCTGATTCCTGGGCATGGTGCTAGAAGGGTCAGAGGTCACTGGGGCTGTGCCAGTAATTTGTTTATTCAAGAGCAGAGCTTGAGCCTGAGGCACGACCAGGACTTGGACCCAGGTCCTCTGACCTCCAATCCAGCCCTTGTTCCACTGTGCCCGCCCAGCTCACACAGCAGGCCGTGGAGCTAAGGCTCTGTAAACCCTGGCTGGGGAATGCACTGTGGAACTGTCTGGGTTTCACAGCATTTAGGTGGAGGTGAGGGTAGATTTTGTTTCCAAGTATGGGACAGCTCACCCCTATATATTCCAAACACCTATACATCTCACCCCATATAAGGGCTTCCTCGCAAGGAGCCACATTCTGAAGCTGAGCCCTGAGGGAGGCTCGTCTTTAGCCAAAGACGCTCACAGGAAAAGGAGGAGGCCAGGTGTCCTGCATCTTATGGCTGGGTTGTTGCCCCAGCTGGGCGGGCTTCACCCTCTTCAGGAGTGACATCCCTCCATGGTCTTTCCCCCCCAACATCTCTATGGATATACAATTTTCATAGCCTGTGTTCACTCATTTAAAGTATATACTTCAGTGATTTTCAGTATATGTGCAGAGTTGTGTAATCAGTTCCAAGGTCAATTTTAGAACATTTCATCACCCTTCCCAAAAAACCCACACCTATCAGCCATCATCCCATAACCTCCCACCCCTTTTCTCCAGCCCTGGGCAACCTGATTTCTATTTGGATAGATGTTCCTATTCTGGACATTTCATATAAATGGAGTCATACAATATATATAGTCCTTTGTGACTGGCTTTTTTCACAAAGCATACCATGTTTAAGGTTCATCCATGTTGTAACATGTATCAGTACTTTATTCCTTTTTACTGCCAAATAATATTCTCTTATATGGATATACCACCTTTTATTTATCCATTTAGCAGTTGATGGACATCAGGGATGTTACCACTTTGGGGCTATTATGAATAATGCTGCTGTGAACATTTATGTACAAGTTTTTGTGTGGAAATATGTTTTCATTCCTCTTGGGTACATACCTAGGAGCAGAATTGCTAGGTTATGTGGTAACTACTATGTTTAACCTTTAGAAGAACTGCCAGACTGTTTCCCAAAGTGGCTGCCACATTTTCCATTCCCAGAAGCAATGCATGAAGAACCCTCCAGGTTCTGAACTCTAGGGAAAGTCCCCTCTAGGCAGGTGGGGGCATCTCAGTCCCCAAATTCAATGCCAGTCCCACCCAAAGCCACAGGTTTTGAATAAAATGTGTGGTCTGACATAGCTGATTCACTTTTAGCTTGTTAAAAGGCCATAGGAAGAGAGGGTATTCTTTAAGTGATTTTGCTTAGTAAGAACCACCTGGACTCTGCATTGTGCAGATGAGCCTTTCAGGCAAAAAGGCCTGAATTCCAGGGTTTGGCTAAATGCTGTTTACTCACCTGAGGTGACATTTTCACAAGCTGCCAAGCCTCACACTGAACATGTTCTCCTCCGCAGGTATAATTTTTGCAGTCGCAAGACGTGTGAAACATAAAAGGTTACAGACCCTTTACCCTTGTTAAAAATGTGGTGCTCTGGCCCTAACCGGTTTGGCTCAGTGGATAGAGTGTCGGCCTGCATCCTGAAGGGGCCCAGGGTCGATTCCGGTCAAGGGCATGTACCTTGGTTGTGGGCACATCCCCAGTAGTTGGTTGTGGGCACATCCCCAGTAGCAGGAGGCAGATGATCAATGTTTCTGACTCCCTATCCCTCTCCCTTCCATTCTGCAAAAAATCAATAAAGTATATTTAAAGAAAAAAATGTGGTGCTCTCTTGTATCTTTGTGGTAATAAATGTTTAATGCCCTCAGGTTGACATTGAGGTGTTAGTTTGCCATCCTCTGGGTTCTGGGGTCACATTTTGGAAATGATTTTTCAGACTAGAGCCCAGGCCCCGGCCAGTGTTCTCAGTGGTTAGAGCACCAAAGGGTCTCTGGTTTGATTCCTGGTTAAGGGCACATACAAGGGTAGCGGGTTCCATCCCTGGCCCCGGTTGGGGTGCTTACTCGAGGCAACCATCAATGCGTCTCTCTCATGTGGATGTTTTTTCCTCTCTCTTTCCGTCCCTCTCTCCCTTCCACTCTCTCTAAAAATCAATGGAAAAATGTCCTCGGATGAGGATTAACAACAACCACAAAATGGTGGAGCCAAGTTGGCTGCAGGTCAGGTCTGAAACCTCCCACCCGCAGTCCTTTGCCACCATCTTTCTCAGGGCACCTGTGTGGCCTGTTCTAATGTAGACCATGAAGTTCTGTCCTATTTGAAAAGCTCATCATTACTTCCACGTGCTGCCTGCCCAGATTTTAACATCCTAGGGCAGTGATGGCGAACCTTTTGAGCTCGGTGTGTCAGCATTTTGAAAAACCCTAACTTAACTCTGGTACCGTGTCACATATAGAAATTGTTTGATATTTGCAACCATAGTAAAACAAACACTTATATTTTTGATATTTATTTTATATATTTAAATGCCATTCAACGAAGAAAAATCAACCAAAAAATGAGTTCACGTGTCACCTCTGACACGCGTGTCATAGGTTCGCCATCACTGTCCTAGGGGGAGGGAGCTGACCCCATTGAAGAGCAGCCTGGGTGGCACGCATACCTCTGAGCCAAAGGAGGGTGAGGGCCTTAAAAAGGTGAATTTGCACATGGCACCAAATGCAAATGAGCCAGGGAGTATTCTTACACAAGGTACTTCTTCCAGTCTTGCCCCCAGGCCCCCGTTCCTCTCCCAGGAACAATTTGAGGTTTTTCCAGCAATATGTGTGCACCTATCTCATACAACACAGCCCCACTTCCACAGCTGGTAGCCTACAAAACACCGTTCTTACCTTGGTTTTTACACTATAAAAATAATTTGGATATTATGGTCTAACTAGAGGCCCAAAACATGGAATTCTTGCAAGAGTAGGCCTTCCTTCCCCTGGCTGTTGGCTCCAGCTTCCCTCTGGCACCCGGGACCTGAGCTACCCTCCAGCCACCAGCAGGCCCCCGGGACCCAGGCTTCCCTTGCAGCCCCAGCTTCATCTGGAAGGTCATCCAGAAAGACTTCTGATTAGCATATTATGCTTTTATTATTATAGATAGTATAGAAAGAGACCCTTTAATCTTCATGGGGCTTCACAGATGCCACCAAGGAATGGATGTGGTGTGCTCGTCCCTGCTGATGGGCATAGAAATGGTCTCCAAAATTTTCTTGTTGCAAATATGCATGCCTCTAACATCCTTCTGTGATGTGTGTGGCGTGTGGGCCTTCTAGCCTGGCCTCTGCCCTAAACCCTGGCCTCCCACTGACCCCCGGCCCACCTGCCCACTCGCTCCTGGGAACCCGGGGAGTTGGATAGGCTGGTGAGGTGGAGGGTGTCACTTTCAGGGCTGGGGATGGTGGAGCAGGGTTCGCCTGTTGAGCGGGAGTGAGAGCATCAGCATTTAATTCTTAGCATTAAGAAATGGCTTCATTTAGCAATTCCCTGAAAGGCTGTGTGACAGGTGTGGTGGGCGCTCAAAGGGAACAAGGTGACACCCCAAGGTCCTGAGAATGAGGCAGAAGGAGCTCTCCCTTCCCTTTAGGGGGCGCCTCTCTACTTCCTAGCAGGATAGAGAGCTGGCCCTGTACCTGGGGATTTTCTTTTATTCTCCCTCCCTCTTTGTGTTTCCTAAAATTCTCTTTCTGAAAGCACTGTCCAGCATTCAAAAACTTGGTCCGCTGCAGTGAAATAGGTCCTTGTCTGAGACCTTCGAGACTGCCTAGGCCTCAACAACACTGCCGGTGTGGCTCAGTGCTTGAGGGTTGACCCAGGAACCACGAGGTCACCAGTTCCAGTCCTGATCAGGGCACATGCCCAGGTTGCAGACTTGATCCCTAGTTGGGAGGCAACTTATAGAACAGAGGTTCTCGCCCTCGCTGCATAATAGAGTTGACTGGGGAGCTTTCAAAGGAAACCCCATGCCCAGGCCGTCCCCGAGACCAGTAGGAATTTCTGGGGTGGGGCCCAGCACCAGTATTTTTTAAAAATCTGTGGGACATGTATAGCCAGGGTTGAGAACCAAGGCGTGTCTCCTTCTGAGAGTCTAAATGGCACTTGCTAATCTTAAGGCTTACTCATTCTCAGAGTGTGATATGAGACTCCACAAGGGGGCAGAGCTGGCCTTGACTCCCAGCTGCCTCTCTTTCTACCTGTGCTCCCAGGACCAGGGCAGCACCTGCCTGTGCCTGTCCCCCCACAAACCCCATCGTTCCTCAGTCCCCCACTGAGTCGGAGGTCAGCAGTGACAAGGGTGGGATACAAAGCCCTCGGTGGAAAACCAGGCATCTCCCTGCCTTCCCAGCCTCCTGTTGGGAAAAATAATGAGGACTTTACAAAGCTATTTCATAAAATGTTATGTTAAATGAACATCAAATTACTTTTCCTTTTCCTAGCTTTAAATGCTAATAGTGCCATTCATTCCTGACTTTCAGGAATATGAGAAGTTTTCAATGACAACATAAAGAGAGTTCTTGTTTGAAAACGCAAGCTACTTGGGACCACATCTTATTACTTCTAAGTATAGCGTGCGCCAGCATCTCGCACTTCAGCCGCCCATCTATACGTAGCTGGTGTATATTTCAGTTGACGTTTATTGTTCTCCTGCATACGTGCCAAATTCCTTAATGATGACTCTGACAAAGACGTAGAGCTCGGTATATAGAATTTACATCTGCTACCGTGTAATCAGTGTTATCTATTAGAACGCTATTTGTGACAAATCACGTTCAAAATAAAAATCGAATTGATTTTTCTGTGATTTTAATATGGTGCCCTCCTAGCAAGGCTTTGATTGAACCTTAAACACTTTAATGCTCTGTTTTTGTTTGAGGCAGAACAGGAATGAAGCTTGTGGTATTCACAAAGCTAAAACAATCTGCAAAAAACAAAATCAAATTTCCAAAAGCAGCTTTATTTGCAAGCCCAGGGAATGAACTTGGTAAAGCTCTCTTTACGGGCTCGCATCGCAAGGAGGAGAGCCTCACGTGCACATTCCCACATTGCATTTCTATGCATCCGTTTCCATCTAAATTAGACTGTAACTAATGCGGGTCTGAGAGGCCTCTGCCAGGCCTTCCTCTCTCCTCTTCTCTCCAGCGAGTGTAGGCTTTTTTCCCCGGCTAATCCACGCTCCACCTCACCCGGGCCCTCTCTCTCGCCAGTGGGTTTGGGCTAAAGGCTCTGTGTCCTGGGCATAGGGGGGTTCTGTCTCCCACATCCCCCAAAGGGGTCTCTCTCAAGGGGGCACCTGCTTGACCCGTTTTGCTTACAAAATGAGTCACTTAAGACCATCCACTTGAGTTAACTTGTGGTTAGGAGCAGGGGGTGGTGAGGTAGGGCACAGTCCTCCAGCGAATAATGGTCTTCACATTTTTAACTGTTGTTTTTTTTTTTATTCAAAAAATATTTTGTGATACATGAAAATGACATGAATTTAAACTTTCAGTGTCTGTAAATAAAGCTTTATTGGAACACAGCCACCCTCGCTAATTTCCATATTGTCTGGAACTGCTTTCCTGCTAACAGGGCAGAATTGCTACAGAGACCCTCTGGCCCACGAAGCCTAAAGTATCTAGTATCTGTCCCTTTGCAGAAAAACGTTTCAATCCCTGATTTAGAAGGCAGGGCCAGGAGCCATTTTGTAAAGATTGGTATCAGATGAATTAGTGGGAGCTTAATTTTTGATGCATGATGTGATCCCGTGGATGAAGATAGCACACGGGCCGTTTCGAGGAACCGCTGTGGTCGTGGGTCCCCTTAATTTCAAGGGCAAAGATCTCAGTAAGCTTGAGCCCAGTGCAGTGATCCCCAAACTCTATGGTTTGGGACGGGGGACCAGCCAGCTACACCTCCCGTGGTTCGTGTCTGAGAGGCCGGACGGCAGGCTCACTGCTCCCACCCAGGCAGGTGAGGGGTCTGTCTCCTGGTTTCTCTTCTGGGACTTTGTGGGGTCACGCTCCCAGGGCTTCTGGAAAACTGGAAAATATCCCAACTACTCGCTGAGCTTTGCCCCCGCCCTTTGAAGAGAGTGCCAGCTACCTTGTGCTGAGATGTGACTTTTTTTCTGCAAAGGCACAATCTCTAAAAGATTAAAATATCTTGTAATCAATCCAAATAAGGATTGTGTTTTAAAATATATTTTTATTGAATTCAGAGAGGAAGGGAAAGGGAGAGTATCATTTATTGGCTGCCTCCTGCACGCCTTCTGTTGGGAATAAAGCCCAACACCCAGGCATGTGCCCTGACCAGGAATCAAACTGTGACCTCCTGGTTCATAGGTTCATGCTCAACCACTGAGATATACAAGTCGGGCTCAAGTAAGGACTTAAAATACCATTTCTTTCCGATTATGTTAATGATAGCTGTTGCCTGTGGGAAATTGGGGGGAGGGGACTGACACACAAACAAGAAAATAAAAATGACCGATAGCACCACCATCTAAATAACCATTGTTGGCATTATGGTTT